TGTACTACAATTGACCGCTTGTTTTTGTACACGTTTGGGCGTAACCATCTTCCAAGCTCTATATGAGTCTTTTATCAAGCCGCACTGGATTGCCACCGCCCAATCTTCTCTAGTTGACCGTCAGCGCAAGCAGATCTCCTTCCAGATCCATGTAAGCCTCGATCAATTTGCCTCTCTTTTTTCTTGTTGATTTTGTCCCGTGTATCTTTATTTTCTAACCTTCAATTTTTTAGGACCTAGTCCTTGCCATTCTCAACCTCATTGATTTAGTGAAGGTTGAAGAACGTGATAAGGAGATGGACAGCGTCGAAGCCAAGCTTAACTCTCTTCTTGACGACGCCAAGAATAAGTGCTCGGCTGTCGTCGATGAGAGGGGTGTGGCCGTGGCCCAACTTAGGAGTTTGGAAGGTGAATTGGCCAAGATGTCAGACCTTCAAAAGAAGTTGACCAGCTTAACCGCTGCGGTTGCGGATCTTACAAAGCGGGCAGAAATTTCTGAGAAGAAGTCAGGGAAGAAGGAAGCCAAAGCTGAGGCCATAGCAATGTTTGACGCCAAGCGTGTGGAGATCATTGAGGAGTTCAAGGCTTCTCCGGAGCTCATCGACATTCGCACCAAGGATTTTCACTCCACTGGTCAGCAAATCGTCGATCTGATAAAATAAGAGCATCCTAAGTGGGATTTGAGCTTCCTTTATATTGCTCCTCCTCCTCCTGCTGACGATGACAATCCTTCCCCACCTGGTGACGGCGAGAACTCGGTGGCCGGTGGCGAGGCTTAAAGCTTTTCCTTTTTTTTTATATACTTTTGTGTAATGTGGGGCATATTTATTTTTTTATATATAATATTTGGGATTTTTACATAATTGCCTTTATTGCTTCTCTTGCCCCTTAGGGCCGTCGCCTTAGAAAATTTCATAAAATTTTCTAAGTTTTTCCTCGCCTTTCTTCCTTGGAAGAGTCGGCGTTAGCTTTTGCCCCTTGGGGTCGTCGCCTTAGAAAATTTCGTAAAATTTTCTAAGTTTTTCCTCGCCTTTCTTCCTTGGAAGAGTCAGCTTTAGCTTTTGCCCCTTGGGGTCGTCGCATTAGAAAATTTCGTAAAATTTTCTATGTTTTTCCTCGCCTCTCCTCCTTGGAAGAGTCGGCGTTAGCTTTTGCGCCTTAGGGTCATCGCCTTAGAAAATTTTGTTAAATTTTCTAAGTTTTTCTCCGGTGATCCGTAGATCCCTTACTGCCCCCTTGTCAGTTTAATATACCTTGGTTTTTTAAGCAAACAAGTTTATTCGAGGGTGAATTCTTCTTACTTTTGGACAATATTTCTATAAACTCATAATTTATTTAAATTGCCAAAAATGTGACTAAGATGCGTTTAAAAAACTACATACATTATTGGTAGTACAGCTTTAGCTGTTTTGCATTCCATGGATGCCGAATCTTCTTGCCGGAGAGACTTTCCAAAATGTAGGTGCCAGGACGCAATACTTCTCTTATTCGGTAGGGTCTTTCCCAAGTTGGGCCCAGAGGACCAGTATTTTTGGGTTTTGTACTCTGTGTTACCCTTTTTAATACTAGGTCTCCTGGGATGAACCTTCGTTGTTCGACTTTTTTGTTGTAATATCGTGCTACCCTCTGCTGGTAGGCGGCGAGGCGTAACTGGAAGTCGAGCCTTTTTTCTTCTAATAGGTTGAGTTCTCCATTCATGCCTTCTGTATTACCGTCATCGTAGTTCTTAGAGTCGGCGTCTCAATTTCTATGGGCAGTACTGCCTCGACGCCATACACCATAGAGAAGGGCATTTCGCCCATGGTACTTCGGCTCATCATCTGTATGCCCACAAGACCTTGGGGAGTTCCTCGGCCCATTTTCCCTTTAGATCGTCGAGCTTCTTCTTGAGGGTATACTTTAATATTTTGTTGACTACTTTGACTTGCCCGTTAGATTGTGGGTGTATCGGCGCTGAGAAATCCTTTCGAATGCCCAAGCTGTCGCAGAATCTTCATGTTGAGGCATTATCGAACTGTTTCCCATTGTCGGACACTATCGAGTAGGGGCCCCGAACCTGCACACAATGTTGCTCCACATGAAATTAGTGCAAGCTGCTTCCGTGGTTGTAGTCAGAGCCTTTGCCTTTGCCCATTTTGTATAGTAGTCTACCGTGACAATGGCAAACTTAAAGCCTCCGGGTGCAAGGTGTAACGGCCCGATTAAGTCGACTCCCCATTTGGCGAAGGGCCACGGACTGAGAATGGAAGTTAGGTTTTCTGGGGGTGTTCTAGGAATTGTGGCATACCTTTGGCACTTGTCACAATGTCGAGCGTATTGGTATGCGTCCTTCTTAAGCGTGGGCCAGTAGTACCCTTGCCTCAAAATCTTAAGAGCTAAAGACTGCCCCCTGTATGATTACCACAGACTCCTTCGTGGATTTCCTGGAGGACCTTCTAGGCTTCATTATTGTCCAAGCACCGTTGTAAAGGTGTCGAATAGCCTCATCGGTAAAGCAAACCGTCGTACAATAAGTATCTGGCAGCTCTATACCTGATCCGTCTGGCCTCGTATTTATTGTTTGGTAGTTTTGCATCCATCAGGTACTGGATAAGCGGCATCATCCAACTTTCGCCTGTGTGGATGATTAATGTCTCAATCACTTCCTCAATGGTCAGCCGCTCTAGTTCTTCAATAGGAACGACCCCCAATGCGTCGGAGTCTTTTGAAGACGCTAGCTTTGCCAGAGCATCAACGTTGGTGTTTTCAGCTCGTGGTATCTGAAGTATCTCATAATTTTTGAACTTGACGAGTTCTTCCTTTACCTTCCTTAAGTACGCACCCATTTTCTCGCCGCGCGCTTGGTATTCTTCCTTCACTTGCCTGACGATCAATTGGGAGTCGCTGTAGATGCTGAGCCTTTCAATTTTTAGGTGACTGGCCAATCGCAGCCCTGCAATTAGCGCCTCGTACTCTGCCTCGTTATTCGACACCTTAAATTTAAATCGAACCACCGAGGTAATCTTGTGACCTTCTGGGCTAATTAACAAGATGCCGGCTCCGGACCCGTTATCGCTCGACACTCCATCCACGTAGAGCTTCCATTCTATTCTCTCGACTTCTTCTGGTGTGGTGTGAGCCGTTCTATGGGAGAATTCAGCCAGAAAGTCAGCCAGTGCTTGGCCCTTGATCGCCGCCCTTGGTACATACTTAATGTCGAACTGGCTTAACTCCACCGACCATTTGAGAAGTCGACCAGAAGTTTCAGGCTTTTGCAGCACCTGTCTTAACGGGTGATTAGTGAGAACCCGTATTATCTGAGATTGAAAATAATGTCGAAGCTTCCTCAAGGCTACCATCAAGGTGAGGGCCAAGCGTTCCATTTCGGTATATCTTGACTCGGCGTCGAGGAGTCTTTTGCTCACATAGTAGATTGGCAGCTGGACCCTTTCTTCTTCTCTTATCAGCACGGAGCTTTGATAAACCATCCCGGTCTCCTGCCTTCCTAGCTGATCATATCCGTGTAGGGCATCAGAGTATGCAACCCTTGCCTCGTACTAGTTGCTCTTCATTTTTCCCACGCCATTTGGGGTGGGGAACTTGACTTTTTGGTGGTAAATGGAGGTGATTGTCCTCAGCGCCTGAAGGGTTGGTCTTCCAATCACGGCATTGTACTGGGAGCCCCCCTTTATTACCACAAAATTAGCCATTGTGGTGGCCTGTCGAGGTTTCTCCCCTGCGGTTATGGGCAGCCGGATAGTCCCCTGGGGGATGACGGAGTCCCCCGTAAAGCCGTACAATGGTCTGGAGGACTTTTTCAGTTACTCCTTTGGAATCCCCATCTTTTCTAGACAGTCAGAGTATAGGAGGTCTACCAAGCTCCCGTTGTCCACTAGGATCCGGCACACAGTATGGTTCCCGATCATGGCTTCTACCACCAACGCGTCATTGTGGGGGAAGTGAACTCCGCTGGCGTCGTCCTCATTGAATGCTACGTCAGCGTTGCTGAATCTTGGTATTTTTATGGTAGAGACACTCCAGAACCTTTCCTGGTAAACCCCTCTAGTTTGTGGGTGTAGTCCTTCTGAGACCTCTTTGAATCTCCTCCTATATAGGGGCCGCCGAGGACAGTTCGTATGACGCCGATGGGTTCTCGGTCCTTCGGGCGCTGGTTCTCATCTCGGCACCGACCATCATTCTGGCCGCCGTGGCCATCGTTTCTACGTCTCCGGTCGGCTTTGAACTCCTATAGCCTCCCCTCAGGGATCACTCTTTCGATCTCATCTTTAAAATCGGCGCAATCGTTGGTGTGGTGGCCGATGTCGCCGTGGAACCTACAGTACTTCTTCTGGTTCCTTCAGCTAGGGTCTGACCTCATTGGCTCTGGGCAGTGCAATAGATTCCCGCGGCCGACCTAATTGAACACTTTCTCGGTTCCTACTGTTAATTCATGGTAGGAATCATACCTTTGAAACGGTCGAGGCTTACGGTTCTCCTATTGTCTCGGCTTTTTGGTTTCTGGAGTGTTCGACGTCGAGGCGGGCTGCTTGTCCCCGCTTCCTCCACCTCGTTGCTTCTTTCCATCCTATTTTGCTGGCGTCGACTCTTGTTCGCTCCCCTTGTTCTTATTGGACCTGTGCTCAGGATCATTCGCATCCGCTTCCTTGGCGTTTATGTAGCCTTGCGCTCGTGCAGGGAATTCCTTATAGCTGGACGGGGGTTTTAAGTTCAGCTATCTCTTGAAGGGGGTTATTTTCTTCATGCTAGATAATGCCCCCATCAAGGCCTCTCGGTCGGTTATGTCCATTCTGGCGGCGACAGCTTCCCCATATCTCGCAAGCTACTCCCTTAACGATTCATTTGGCTTCTGGTATATCGTCGTCAGATTCTGCTTTAAGGGGACATATTTTTTAACCCCTATAAACTGGAAGGAGAACGCTTCCTTCAACTCATCCCAGCTTGAGATAGAGTTTGGCTTCAGCATCCGAAACCATCTTCGGGCAGAGCTCGGCACATAATCTCCTCGGCGTACCCATGTAAGAGCATGTGCCCTGCGTACATCTCTAAGTGATCGTCGGGATCCCCTCGACCGTCATATGGTGGGATCGACGGTGACCTGTATTTATCGGGGAGAGGTGGCGCCATTATTTCCGCGGTAAATGGATGGTCGTGTGTGTGGCTAGGCGTGATGTCAACGTTTACTACCTCGGCCACTCGCCCTATGTTCTTTTTTAGGCCGGCGACGTTGCCCATGAGTTTTTGCTCTAGGTTGGCCATTCGCTCCATAATGGCGCGCGCTTCTTCGGCCGAGATGGCTGAGCCACCTACTCTTGACGCCTCTGCCCTTTGGACGTTAGGTCCGCCCCTTGCCTGTCCGCCCGCCTGTACTGACCCTCCGGTGGGTTTCCTCCTGGGTTCTGGGTAGCACCTCGGGGTTCCCCAGACCTCTCGTTATCTGGTCCCCGGGAGCCCGAAGCCCGACAGCCCTTGGACGGCTGCCGGAGGATTGGGAAGGTCGAGGCTTAGGATGGCCTCTATGGTTCTCGTTGTCCCCGACTCCTTCTAGGTCATGTTGGCGGTCATCGGGGTTGTGGTTTTCAGCCATGGCAGCTCCCGGCGGCATCAGAGCGTCTTCTAGAGGCGGCATAAAGTTCCTTCCGTCCAAGCGCTCAACTACAACCATTAGTCCACGTACCAGGTCGGTTAGAGTGGTTAGTTGGGCTTGCATCTGTATAGGGTCCAGCCGCGGCACGTCTGGGAGCGGGACTTCGTTTCTGACCGGAGGTGGACCCTCGTGACCTTCCTCCATCCCGTCATTCACCGGATGTGTGGCGGTTTCGTCCATTTGGCTGCCTTGGTTGATGGCCTCAATCCTTCTTCTTGGAGGCATGTTTGCTGACTATGTCGTTGTTGGGGGTCAAACGCCTGAACCAGAGATTCTGGGTTCGATCCCCAGCGGAGTCGCCAATTGTTGACGGTAAAAACTCGTCAACATAAATGGGCCGGGTCACCGCTAGGTATCCTGTTGGATTACCGGCTTAATATTGACTGTATACTTAATATAGGTAGTGAAGTGCTTGTGGTATTTTTTGTGTAGTGAGCAATGTAAGAAAAAATGCTTAAAGTAGAAAAACACACAAAATTTATAGTGGTTCACTCTTATAAATGAATAGCTACATCCACTGTAGTTTTTTATTCCTTTTGAGATTGTTACAATTTACACCACAAATTGCTCTCTCGTTCTTTTCTCTCAGAAAAGATCAACCTCTCTTCTGTACGAGGCTTCTCTCCTTTTATAGCCGAGCTTCCTTCGTCGGGTGGGTTTTCATTTTAGGCTGAAAAGCACTCAAGTGGCCTGCCTTTCTAGGCCCAGACCGTAGCCCACTAATCACTTTTGCGCACTGTTCACTCAGCCAACTAGTCTCCCATTACGGCTCTGTGCGCACCTGTAACCCTTTTTTGTCCCATGTAGGGCGGTTTAAGGGTTTACATTTAATGCCTATACTGCAGACATCTCCTATTTCCGCACGTAACTTGCGATGTCAGGCTTTCACCTCTTCGGGCATTCCTCTCGCCGTCACTATTTGCTCAGCCTAGTTGTCTCTCCTGGCAATTAATTTCTTCCCGAAGGATTCCTGCCGTAAGGTCGACAGTACAACCTGTCGTCGTCAAGAGGAGTCGACGTCGAAGGCTGTGCTTCCTTCGCAGTAGAAAGAAAGGGAACCCCCACCGTTGAGGGTTGTTGCCTTTTGAGGGAAAGGAAGACCACGTGTCACACTGTTATTTTTTCACGCGTCATCTACATTTTTCCACACAACATTGATGTCTACATATACGATCAATTATACTATTATAACTATCACAACAAAAATCCCATTTCTGATGTTATAGTAAATGATTATCAAAGTAAAGGAACCATCGTTAATCGTTGATGATGGGAGAACTATTATAACCACGGTTACTTCCTTTTATATCAGTGCTAAGAACACCTTTTTTTTCTATCCAGAAAAGCTTTTTTTTTTTTTTTTAAATTATTTTTGAATTCCTTGATAGTATTTCTGTCATTACACCAGTCATAATTGAGCGTAGGCTTGTTCAGAGTATGAATTTTGTTTCACACTTGACATGTCCTAGTACATATGTTTGATGAGGTTCAAAATAAATGATATACTTTCTAAATAAACCCAAATTACAAGATATATTACAAAAACTTTTTCAAATTTTATTATGATTGATTGTGATATTGTAATTAATTTAGCAGGTAGATAAGAGAAAATAATTATATTAGAAAAGATTGCATATGTTTAAATAGAGACATTTGAAAAAGGAAAGGAACCTTAACCAAGGGCAAATAAATTAGAAAAAAATATATCTTTAATTAAAGACATTTTTTAAAAATAGTAAATAAGAATGAATTAGAGAAAATATTCGTTAATGAGGGGGCATCTATGAAATTTTGTTCATAAGGGGGCATATATAAAAAGTTTTTAAAAACGGATTATTTTTATAAATACCTCTCAAAATATATACATTATTTTAAAATACCTCTTGATTTTTTAAAACAATTTAAAACACGACATATTTATAAAAAATAGATCAAATTACCCTTTCCATCCAATTCTATATATCACTTGGATGGAAAATACATGGCAATAAAAATGAGTATTAAAAGTTAATTAAAAATATTTAACAAATAAAAATCAAATATTTAAATATTAATAAATAAAATAAAATGAAATCCAACATTCTCTTCATCATCATCAATGGAAGTCCATATTCATAGTCTCCTACGCCAAACTCCCCAACAAAAAGCAACCACTTTCAGACCAAAGAAACCAAGACAACCCAACAAATTTCTATTAGAAACAACTTCCTACGACGATTTTGTGGCAATTCAAATCAGGAAGAATGAAAAAAAAAAAAAAAAAAAAAAGCTTTGAAAGTCACATTATGTTTTCTTCAATAAAGGATCCCAAATTTCAATCGAATCAAATCTCGTGTTCCCAAGTCTAAATCTTTTCGTTATTCTAGATCGAATTCGGCGAATTTTCGGCCGAAGCTGTCGCCTTCTCCATCAGTGAAGAAACCATATACTTCGATTAAATTTTTTTCATCTCATTCAAACATCTCCAAAACCCAGATATGTAAAATTTGAAAGGAAAAAACAAAAAATAGATTCAATCTTATTCAAACAACGATGCCCCTCCAAGGCCATCCAACCTCATCGTTGGGCAACCCACCCAAGTGACCGCCATCGAACCCAAGCCAAGCCGACCCATCCCCTGCTTGCAAGCCTCTGCTTCAAAGCCCTCGCAACCCAGGTCCAACTTCCCTCCTCCCTTTGCAGCAGCCCCTTCGGCAACTAAGCCCCACACCTGTGTGATGATCCCCTCAAGCCGATGGATCATGGAACATACACATGGAGAAGAAGATGCTTTAGAGTTTTTTAAAATAGTTTGATCTGCTTTTTTTTTATTATTATTCTTCA